AAAAAAATCGAGACCCTTGGAAAGTTTCATTTCATTTGCTTTAACACAGCGAAAATGGTTGGAAAAAGTGAAGTGGCCACAAATGGCCACCACAGAGCCCAGAGGGTTAAGAGTGTTTAAGAAACTTGAGGGAGTGAGATAAACAAATACACGTAACTACAAAAGAAAAAAATGGGAGAGAATAAGAGGGGTTTAGCTTCGTGAAACTTTTTTCAAATGCAGCTTTATTAAAAAATGTTTGAACATTTTGTGGCTTCACACAATACTTCTAGGTTTTCAGCCATTTTTCATTATTTTCAAATGCTTTCATTCCGTCTGCACAGGAAAAATAATCTGATGATAATTACTTTTGTGAGTCTAATTTTCCAGAATGGAAGCAAAACAGCATTTATGTTTATGCCACAGTTTAACACAGTTAAGCAAACTTTTCAGAACTGCTTTGAAAGTATTCACATGAGCCCTATCCCTCCACAGAGATCTACCCTCCAGCTGTTAGAGGTCCCAGCTGTCTGTGAAAAATTGGATCAACTGCAGCGTCGCCATGGCAGCCACCCTCACATGAGTGATGGCTGCTCAGTCCTGCAGTGAAATCAACTGTTAGAGGTTTAATGTGTGTGAGACATTAAGTCCAACATAAGCACTTCTTTGACCAAACTGCCTTCACCAGCTCAGAATAAAATCTAAACACTATATTTATTTACCACTGCATTTACATTTAGTTCATGTTACTTAAAAGTCCCGCAAGAAGGGCTGAAAATCCCTGTTAATCCCTATTAAGAAAATTGCTACAAGAGATTATTAAGCAAACATTTATTTTCAAACATGTTTCATTACTATGATGCTAATGTTAATAATGTAATAAGCATAAGAAATTAATAATGCTCTCGCACACATTTAATAATATGTTAATAGTATTCTATATTAATATTAAATATATTTGAGAGTTAATATATATTAAGAATCCAAGAAATACTTGTTTTTTAATAATACCGATTTTGTGATATTGTAATTAATATAAAGTACTTTTCTTCCAAATACAAATATTGGTCCAAAAAAAGAAATCTGTGATTATTTTATTTGCAAATAACCGGATGTACAAACCTTTGCGTCACAGCTGTATGTTATAAATAAATCCAGAACGATTTGTATTTCTTCCACTTCCCATGGGCTCAAAGGAAGTGATACATACAAATCTTTTTTACGCACACACAAATTCTTTTTACACATACAAATCTCTTTTACGCACACACAAATTCTTTTTACACATACAAATCTTTTTTATGCTCACACAAATTCTTTTTACACACACAAATTCTTTTTACACATACAAATCCTGATTTACAAGTACAAAACTGATATACAAGTACAAAATATTTATGATCACGGGCCATCATGAGGCCATACTTATCCTATCGGTATTACGGTAGGCTCAGGCCACACCCCTACATATGTTGGGTTCTCTGATTAGATTACTGCTGTCACGTGACCCGACAATAGCGGAAGAAGAAGGCTCGACCGCAGAGCGAAGGTAAGGAAATAAACAAAATAAAGACGGGTCGTTTTAACGGGGAAAACTCCCGGTAGTGTTTTTACTTCCCGCACGTATACAGAGCCTGGGGCTCGCTGCTGACGGACCCGGTGTTCGGGCTCGGTTTGGACGGTAGGTTTAC